ACAAACTAAATATTTTGCTATTCAGCTTGAGACAACGGATTTCAGTAGTAATTCACAACTGGTATATGTTTGCTATAAAGGTGCAGATAATTTTGAAAAGAAATTGCTGTTTTGTTTTCTTCTCGAGTTCAGATGTCATGAAATTGATATTTATAATAAAGTAAACGACTACTTCAAAGCGCAAAGATTAAAATGGGGAAATTGATAGTTTGGTGTCTTTGGATGGGTCATATTTATGGTTTTTTAGCTTTTGTAAGGGAAAATAACCCACACTCATCATGTTATCAAGATTATAAATTTTATCAAGGGACATGCACTAAATACGCGGCTACTTTGTTAATTATGTCAGGATGGTGAAGCTGAGACTTACCTTCTTTATTATACAGAAGTAAGGTGGCTCTATCGCGGAAATATTTTAAATTGCGTATGGACTCTTAAAAATAAAGCTAAAATCTCTATGGTTTCTCAAAAAAATATTCTTGCTGAAAATTTTAAAAACTCTTCCTGAGTTGCATATCTCGCATATTTAGCAGACATGAAATTTTGAAGAAATTGTGCAACGCCAATTTGCAACGCCAATTTGCAACGCCATACCTAAGAAAAAATGGATGTGTGTTTGTGTGTGTTTTGTGTGTCCGCATTTTTTCGTTCACGTTTTCGAGCGCACGGATGAACCGATTTGAATGGTTCATTCAACATTCGGTTCCTATTGATAAGGAGATATGCTGACTAGTATTTGGCAAAGGCAGGTCCAGCCGTTACGGAGATACGGAGTAAAGAGTGCAGAAAATAGAAATCGAATTTTTAAGAGAACGAAGTATCCCATATGAATGATCCAAAAAACATTCAATTTGTAATGATTGGGAGAAGTAGTGATTAGGTTTTGGCAAAGGCATGTCCAGCCATTTCGAAGATACAGAGCTAAATGTACAAAAATGGCAGTTTTTGAGAGAACTAAGCATCCGATTTGAATGATTAAAAAAACTTGCTGTTTGTGTTGACAAAACAATTACTTCTTGGAAAGAAAAATATTTCAATTTTTTTTTCAAAAAATTTTTCTTTGTATATCGAAAATAATTCAGATTTTAATTTTAATTCTGGCTAAAGTTCTAAAGCTCACTTATATTCTTCGAATAAATAATTTTTTTAAATTTTGTAATTCAGCTTATATATATCTTATGAATATTATACAGTGTTAGAGTATTTAGAATAATCTAATTAGAAACATTTAAAATTCTTCGAAAATTTCGTCACGGTGCGGATTAGTAGGATTTTCATGAAAAATATATTTATTCATAATGAATATAGTTTTTACTTATTGTTTCCTTCAAACCATTTATTTTAGCCTTTTTCGTTGTTTAGAAGTAACAAACAATGTTATGGCAGGTTATACAGAAATATGTTGCAAACAGATTCCAATTATAGGCTCTTTTAGTTAATTTTTTTGTGGGGTAATGAGAAGTTGCACAAAAACATTTTGGGGTAACGGTTCCAAAAGTTCCCCGACCACTGCTCTAACCGCTTGAAGTCGCAATGATTCGGTTTGAGTCATATGAAGACGATTGAAGTCATATCGCTCGAACCGCATGAAGTCGGAATGATTTGGTTTGAGTCATATGAAGTCGATTGATGTCATATCGCTCGAACCGCATGATGTCGGAATGATTCGGTTTGAGTCATAAGTAGTCGATTGAAGTCATATCGCTTGAGCCGCTTGAAGTCGGAATTATTCGGTGTGGGTCATATGAAGTCCGATGTTATTGTTAGTCAATGAATGCGGTTAAAGTCATATAAAGTCGATTGTAGCCGGGTGATACATTTGAGCGTATTAAAGTCGGGTGACGGGATTTATTATTTTTTATATTATTATAATATTGAATTAAATTAAAACATTTCTTTAGTATTAACGAAAATTTGTTTTTATACATATTTTACCACAGTAAATATTTCGCGGCTTGATACGAGTTGATTCGAATCAAGTAAAATCTGATTCGAATCAAATCGAAAAAGGCTTGATTCGAATGATTCGAATCACTTGATTTGACTTGGCACATCACTAATATATATATATATATATATATATATATATATATATATATATATAACATTACAAATGTATTCTGAGTGGATGGATAGATATTACTTCAGAAATATGAACAAACAACACTCTTTTTGCACTAATTTATTAAATAATAATTTTACAAACGTTTCGAGAGTAGGTTTGTCTTATCATCAGTGTGTTATAATTAAAAATCTAAAATATCAAAACCTAAATTAGCATTATGTGTTATCCGTTACAAGTCGTTTATTATACAAAAATAAATTTATACATTAGGAAAATTAAATGAAAAAAAAACAATATATACACACCAGATCAGGAAAAAACACACTTTAATATCAAGTTTTTTAACACAACAATCACATGCTACTACTGTTGGAAAACAAAAATAATTTAAGAAAAAACCAAGTAAGGTAAATGTAAAAATGTATAAAACACATAATTATTTGTTTCTAACAAAGATTGCACTAGCACACTTAGTCGTCGTGCGACACGAGTATTCTGTTACGCGACTAACACGCGATGCTTGTAGAAGGAAGGGATATTCAGTGGCGTAGTAGGCAGTCAGATTTTCAGAAAATAATTATATTTTGATAGCTTTCTGAAAGTAAGCAAGAAGAACTGCGTTTGTTCACACAATTTGAATTTGATTTTGAAGTAGTAAACAGTATTTTTTTTAAATAAGAAAAGCTACCCAAATAAGGTAAACAAATAATGCCTTTATATTTACTAAATTATTCATATATATATATATATATATATATATATAATATATATATATTATATATTATATATTATATATACATGAATAATTTCTTGGAGAGCGTAACATCAAGTAAAAAAATAAATAAAGTGAAGATTTTTAATACATCTTTATTTTTCCATACGTTTCGACGTAAAATTCTACGTCACCATCCGTGTTTCTACAATTTTGAAAACAGAAAAAGTAACGCTAAAAACTAAATATAAACAGAACAAGAATAAAAAAGAAGAGATTTAACTAAAAAGACAGACTAAATATATCTAAATATTAAAGTAAAAACAATTACAGAAAGCATTACTTACTTGAAATTTTTAGATTATCACTTATATATACATATTAGCAACACATAACTTGTGAATAATCAATAATAGGATTTCAAATGTTCTGTGATCATCGTTTGCCCTTGATTTTTGTTTTTTTGAGTTATTATCGTGCTGTTTTAAACGTTTAATAAGGTTTTATCCTGTTTCGTCTATATAGGTGGAATCACAACTTTGCCTGATATCTTATAACCCCATTGGATATTCATTCCAAACTAGTGCGCGGCTTCAATTTTGAAAAATTGATATTCAGCGTTAAATCCATGTTGCATACTAAACGAAGATTTGCGTTATAAAAAATTTTTTTCACAAAGGATAAAGTTTCTTAATGTAAGGCAGGCAAACTGTTCCTTGTTGTGGTTAATACGTCAAATGTCAAACGTTTTTGACAGATGATGTTCAATTACGTTTAATAAGATGTTTCACGTGAATATTATTTAATTATGATTAAATTGTAGTAAGTATTTTTGTTTCTAGTTTTATTTATACACAAAAACGTCATCAAACGGGCCGCTAGTGTTACTAGAAACTCAAAATATCAACTTTTTTGAAATGTTAATATGAAAATGCACTTTTTGGCGTTGTAGCACTCTATTTTGCAAATATTATTTTTTTCAAACACGGTGATTTTAAAGATCTCATTAGTATAATTATATACTCATTGGTATTTATGAAACATCTTCTAGGTTATATTATTTTTTATTTATGTTATTTAAATTCATAATTTAAATTTGGTATCGATCAGAGGAACATTTTGTCGAATAACATTTTCTCAGTTATTATTATTATTCCCCAAAATTTATCAAAGAATAGATAGTAATATATGAAGGTCCGGGCTTAAAAAAGTCCACCACCAATGTGTGAAAAACCAGTAAAGTTAAGCATTGTTTAACAACAATATTTGAAAGTGAGAAAAAGATGTATAAACATTGATTCTCATGACCCTGTTATCGGGTGATTAACGGTAATCTTTAAAAATCCATAATAAAAGTATTTTCTTCAGTTGATAGTTTTTTGGCATTAGTTAAAAATGTAATTATTTTGTAAAATACCAAAAAAAATCTGAAAGACTTGATTCGTGATCAATACGTCCAAAGGACCAAAAAAGACTTGGATTGGATTATACCATGTTTTCTATAAGAAGTATATAAAACTTCCAGTTTGGTTATATTGCCAAAATATAAACAAACTAATGGGGTTCATTGTTTTGATAATACCTTTAATAATTGTATATGACAACAACATATCCATATACATCTAACTTGTTATCAGAGCTAACCAGCAAAATTGCTCCACCGACTGAGAATGGACATGAAGTACTACTCAACAAATTATGAAAGAGCTCTTACCTGCCAACCAAAGATTTGTTGGGTCAAATTAGTCTGAAGGTTTGATGCCTGGTTATTTTTCATCTATTAGTTTATATTTCTGCTTTGCAACCATACTTGCCCGGGATTTACATGCTTTGGTTACCCAGAAGCTGCTTGGCAAGTCATTGGAAGAACTTTAAAAATACGCTAACTGGCATAGTTTCTGATTAGAACTAATCATATAGTCGTCTTGTGACGACCCAAGATTTTTATCTCTAAGTTTGCAATACAAATACTTATAAAATTAGTCCTTATAAAATTAGGTTTCTAGTAAGTATAAATTTTAATTATATTGTCATTTGTATTCATTTTGTAAAAGGCATGAACCGTATATAAAAGCAGGTATATTTAAGAAAAAGGTGACATATTTTGATAGAACAATGAAGTCTTGTTTTGTTTTATTATACAAAAAGGGATGGTCTAAATTTATTGTTTTATAATATTATTGTTACTTCACATATGTATAATATTAGATTTTTTAAAATTAGGAATTCCATGCACTGTAGTAATGCCTACTGCAGCACCTATTATGAAAATTCAAAAATGCAGAAACTATGGTGCCAATGTTATAGTTCATGGTAATGATATGGGAGAGGCTAAAAAATTAGCGATGCGTTTGGCTCATGAAGAAAAGCTTACTTACGTTAACGGGTAAGAAAGTAGTAAACCCGTATAGTAATACAAATATATATATATATATATATATATATATATATATATATATATATATATATATATATATATATATATATATATGTATATATATATATATATATATATATATATATATATATGAGTAAGTTCTTCAAGGGCATACATCAAATAAAAGGCAAAGATTTAGAAGTTAATCTTTAATTTTTCCAAACGTTTTGACATAGGATTTTTTTGACATTCTTTTAACTTTTACAACGCTAGTATGTACATATATTACGCTTTTGTATGTTTGTATATATTTCTTTTTACTTTTTATTTCTCTTGTTTATCTATCTGTTAAGTAAATTGTTATTGTTATAATTATATTACTTATATCTATAGTTCTTTTTCCAATTTCTGTCATTTTTTCCTAGTTTATATTAATTTTTCAATGTAGATCCACTGATGATGACATAAAATCCTATGTCGAAACGTTTGGAAAAATTAAAGATTAACTTCTAAATCTTTGCCTTTTATTTGATGTATGCCCTTGAAGATTTTACTCATATTTCTCAACATCAAAACTAACTTGTTTAATATATATATATATATATATATATATATATATATATATATATACTAGCAAACCCAGCGAACTCCGTTTCGCCACCAGATGGTTTCGTTTTTGTTTGGTGATTAAAAGATAAAGAAAATTTTTTTTGTTTTATTTTTGAATAGAATTTTTTTTATTTCATTTCACAACAGTAATGCATTTGTTTTGATTACAAAAGTGAAGTGATATTCAGCTGAACTTCTCTAATTAAGTGAAAGTGAATCTAAAGTAAATACTGAATCAAAGCGTTATACGTGTCCGCAAATTATCCGTTTCATTGAAGTGCTCTTTGCTAAACCACATTTTTTGTTTTTTGGTCTGACGTTAACACAAACAAATCAGATGGTTCCCCAACTTGTGAACGCGCAACGTATAACTGCCCATGTAAAAAACAACGATTTTCTAAATTTATCCCGCAAAAACTATCGAATCGGATCAACCAATTTAAATGATTTAAAAAACATTCTATTCGTGTGGTAAATTGTCAAAGGCAGATTCAGCGGTTTCAAAGAGGCAAGAAAAGTTTTAAAAGGTTATATCAATTTGATGATGCAGTTTTTGAAAGAACTGATCACCTCAATAGAATGATTCAAAAAATATATTGCTTGTGTTGACGGTGTGCTACAATGATTAGTTTCAAATTAAGAGTTTTTGTTATTATCTCATTGTTATTTCTCATTGATCAATCTCATGGATCATTGATTAATTTTATCTCTCGAATATTTAGTTACTGTTTGGATACGTTAATATTCCAACTCGTATTTATTCTCGAAAAGAACAATGATATACATTGTGCTCACATAAGAAATACGAAAGTATAAACAACCAGAGAATTAGCTCGCGCAAGGTTGTTTAGATTTAATAATCTTTACTGTTGACTTTACTTGTTAGATAGTGTTCATAAGAGATAAGAAAGTAAAATAATAATGCCCGTAAACCACTAATCAACTTCTTTACCTGCACATCAGTTTAAAAATTAACTAAATTTTAAATAATAAATTTTTTCCGGGGCCTCTTGAACCAACCGATTTATATATATATATATATATATATATATATATATATATAACGGCTGAACCGATTTAGCTGAAAATTGGCAGAGAGGTGGTTTAGAGCCAGGAGAAACACATAGGACGTATAACTACCCATGTGAAAAACAATGATTTCTAAATTAATCCCGCAAACACTAATCGATTGGCGTAGCGACTTGTTAATTGTCATTGCGAAAGTAAGGCGAACTGAAAATTGCAATTGTTTGAAGTCAAACGGAAGACCGGTCGGAACCATTGGTATTCGATGAATACATACATTTTCATCTGCGTACTTTCCGTTAATAATGGTTGCCTCAATCAAATTTGGCATAAGTCTTTTTACCGAAAGTCGAGTACCGTTGCAAACTTGCGTTGGATTCAAATTACGTAATATCATAATAACTGTACCAACTCGAGTTGAAAGTTATGTGGTGGAAATCGTGGTAACTCCAGAGAGTTCAAAAACTCCGTAGAATAATTTGCACCACACAATCCAGCCGTTTCTCTTTTAGACTTTACCGCATTGCAATATCGGCATATAGTCGTCATTGGTTCAATATCAAAATTTTCATCATTACTGTAGTTCACAGTGGGATTATATTGGAATGGCAGGCGATTGTATAACGCAAATGATTTTTGTGTGCTCATGCGTTGTCTCCATCGGGCATTTCCTCTTATTACATTTTGTCCTTCTTCGCTTAAGTTCTGTGAATACACATGTTGCTGGCTTGCATGCCTAGTGCGGCGGCCGATGTTTGCACGTCGTCCTCTACGCATTTTAGGCTATGGACCTAGTGGTGAATTTAACCTTGTGGTTATCTTCCACATATATTCCACTTGAATAATTCAAATATTATAATATAATATTATTTATTATATATCTAATATTTACATTGAAATTATAATTTAATATTTTCTTCTTCTGGCTGGCTACTGTCCGTAGTCCCAGGTCAGTAGTTGTTGACTCCTTGATGATTGAGGTGAAAGAGAATTTCTCAGTGTTGCGCTATGCGTTAAATACTCTAAGCGCCAAGGAGTGGGGATGTTTAAAGGGTTTATCGTGGTGACATCTGGTGCAACGTAGGCGGGTCCCACAAGCGGTGACACAATTGAAGTTGAGGCATAAACTTGTGGCGCCATCAGTTGTCAAACCTCTTATAAAGGTGGTTCTTACAGGAGCCCCCCGCAGAGACTGGAGGTCATGGTATGCGAAAATGAACTTTTTGGCCTGATCGAGTGAAATAGCTGTTCTCTACCTTGGTAGCGATTGGTTGGTCTACTGGATCTGCGATGATGTAGGCTGGTTTGATGCGATCGATGGACACCCGTGTACTGCCTTTCTGTGTTCGTATGGTTACAGTTTTATCATCTCTCTTAAGAACTTCGTATGGACCTTGATATGGTTGTTGAAGTAACTTCCTGATAGTATCGTCGCGGAGAAAAATATGCGTGCATGTTTGTAGGTCCTGAAAAATAAATGGTTTGTTGTTTGTGTGATTACTGGATTTACTTGGTTGAAGATGCGCTACATGTTGTCGAAGTCTCGAGAGTAGATCAGCCGGATGTCTTAAATTTTGAGAATTTTTGTGTAATTCAAAAATTTCTCCAGTAAGGCGCAGTGATTCACCATACACCATTTCAGCTGCTGATGTCTTGATATCAAGTTTGTAAGCGTTTCGAATGCCTCATAGAATTAGCGGAATTGCTTCCAACCATGTGTTGTCTTTGTAACACATTATCGCAGCCTTGAGTTGTCGACGGAAGCGTTCTATCAGTCCGTTGGAACATGGATGATAGCTGCAAGTCCTGATCCTAATGGTCCCTGTCAATTTGTTTAATGATCTAAATAATTCAGATTCAAATTGAGTACCTGGATCCGTCGTTATTTTGACTGGAGCTCCGAAACGGGATATCCAGCATGATAAAAACCCAACCGCTACTTCTTCTGCAGATATTCCTTGTTGTGGGTATACTTCTGGCCATTTGGTAAATCGATCAATGGCTGTCAAACAATATTTATAGAAGTTAACAGGAGGTAAAGGACCAATTATATCGATGTGTACATGTGCAAATCTTGCTGTTGGCAAGGAAAATGTTCCGTGCGGTGCATGTACATGTCGTGTTATTTTGGACCTTTGACAATCTTGACAAGCTCTAGCCCAATCGTGGCAGTTTTTCTGTATTGATGGCCATATGTACCGTGCAGTAATTAGACGCGAAGTTGCTCGTATCCCAGGATGACTCAAACCATGTAATGAGTTAAATATTTGTCTCCCAAATGGTGCTGGGATATAAGGTCGTGGCTGAGTTTTCGCCGTGTCACAAAACAACTTTATGTTTGTGCCTGGTACTGGAATTTCTTCAAGTTGTAGTTTGGTGTCTTGCATCAAAAGGCGTTTAAGTTCTGCATCATCTTTCTGGTGCTGTGCTAGGATTTCGAAACTAAGTAATTTATCTTCCGTAATGGCTTCGACTTGCGACAGTGTATCAGCTATGATATTTTCCTGGCCTTTGATGTATTTTATGTCTGTTGTAAACTGTGAAATAAAACTTAAATGATTAAGTTGAACTGGCGGAAGTTTTTCATGGCGTTGGTTGAATGCAAAAGTCAATGGTTTGTGATCAGGGTATATTGTGCATTGATGTGCTTCAAGAATGTGCCTGAAGTACTGCACAGCAAGATATACAGTGCAATTCTCTGTAATAAGCTGGCCATGTCGATTGACGTGGAGTCAACTTTTTAGAGAAGTATGCTAGGGGTTGCCATTTGTTTTCAACCAATTGTTGCAAACAGGCGCCTACTGCCTGCTGGGAAGCATCTGTAAATAATCCTAATTTAGCACCATGAATTGGATGTTGGAGTAGCGTTGCTTCCGCTAGTTTATCTTTGCAGGTTTGAAATGCCTTTTCCAGTTCTAGGGTCCAGGAGATAGATTTATTGCCTTTGATAGATGATATTGCATTGTATAGTATTGCTTGGTTCGAAGCTACGTTTGGTATAAAACGGCGATAATAATTGAGCATACCTAAAAATCGTCTAAGGGACTTGGCGGTTTTTGGACGAGGAAAGTTCTTCAGATTTTCGATACGTTCAGATGGTGGCTTGGTTCCTGATGCGGAAATTTCGTATCCCAAAAACTGAATTTGCGGGACCCAAAATATTGCTCAAATATTGCTCGTAAATGCATTTGATGCTCTTGTTCATTTCTGGAAAAAACTAAAATATCATCTATGTAAGCAAAACAAAAATTTAATCCTATCAATACTTCGTCTATGAAGCGCTGAAAGGTCTGCCCAGCGTTTCTGAGGCCGAAAGACATGAATGGAAACTCGAACAGGCCAAAAGGTGTTGATATTGCTGTCTTTGGTACGTC